GAAAACATTTCACTTCTCATCCAAGAAGCTTCTTCAGTTCTTCAGTTAGAATTGAAGAAGCTTCTTGGATGAGAAGCAAAACATTTTCAAAGAGAAAAACCAAGGAAGTCCAGTTGCCTTTTGGAAAAAGCACTTTTATTCCACCCATATAACAGATTACTCTCAAGCTATTTTCTCTTTCATTTTCTCTTTGGGTTGCTTCTTTGTGATGTGTCATTCCAAAGTGGCTTTTTGGAGGAAAACGGCGGTCAGGTTTCTAGGCTTTCCAAAGGAATCCATGGAGAAATTAATTGCAAAACTTCTGGAGGTTACCCCGTTCCCAAATAGCTTTCCCCAAACAGTTTTCCAAAATTCACCAAAGGTGCAGTGCACCTGGCTCAAACGGATTTTAGCCTGCTGGAATTGCTGCTAAGCGAGGCAATGCTCTGAAGGCATGATCGCTGGTGATGCGAGAAAGAAATTCCAAACCAAACAGATTTTCTTGACATCACTTGAGAATTAATGTTTGTTTTCTTTACTGAAGGTTAAAGCCATGTAAACCAATCGTACAAAAAAGGAGGAAGGATCCCAGACTTAGGAGCTAGGATGGTGTCATGGATAGAGTTGCAACTCTGCTGTTTGTTTTTTTTGGGGGTGGGTGGGGGGGGGGTGACAGCACCAATGAGGTCAGCAGGGCTTATAAAACTACACTGTTAAGACATTGAGAAATGAATTAGAAAGTCCCTGATTTCTGTTTGGTCTTTAGCTGAAGAGAGGGACTATAGCTAATGCGTGCAAAAGATCTCCAAGCCAGGCCCTGAGCATATACTTCCAAAGCAAGCAAGCAAGGGAAGCAAGGGATGAGAAGTACCATTCTCTGATGAGACCATGACAACTCACCGCAGCCAACTCTCCACGGGACAATTCGCCATGACCAACTCTCCATGGGACAAGAATTACACTATGATCAAAGATATAAGTGGAATAGCAACAGCAAGAGCACTTAGATTTATATACTGCTTCGCAGTGCTTGACAGCCCTCTCTAAGTGGTTAACTTTACAGAGTTAGCCTCTTTGCCACCAACAATCTGGGTCCTCATTTTACCCACCCCAGAAGGATGGAAGGTTGAGTCAATCTTGAGCCTGGTGGGATTTGATCTGCCAAATTGCAGGCAGCCGGCAGTCAGCAGAAGTAGCCTGCAGTACTGCACTGTGACCACTGCGTCACCGAGGCTCTTAATGAATAGGATCATTAAATTGATTTTGTTGCATTGTCCTGCAGTGAGTTGGCCATGGCATGGTGTCTTGCAGTGAGTTGGCTGTAGTGAGTTAGCCCTGGCAAATTGGCTGTGGTGAGCTGTCCCATTCCATCTCGGACATTGAAAGCTACTACAAGGAAAGACAACTCAATGCTCTTTAGATGCTTCAGGTCTTGGTTTCCATAGTTTTAGCTGTGATGACTAAAGTTAACAGATGTTGTAGCCCAAGCCTTTGGAGAGGCACCAGGTTGGGCAAGGTTGAAGCAGACTATTAGGAATGAAATGTAGGAACCAACCAGTCTGGTGCCAGGTGAATTTTTTATCACCTTTCTTTGAACTTCCCATCTGCCTGAGGCTCGGTCAGTAGATCTCTGCATTCCTCTACTCTTTTCCACAAGACAGAGTAGAACACCATTGACCTAAACCAGGAAGTTTTTGCAAGAGCAATGCTATGATGAGATCAAAGCATAACACGACATCAAGCAGAATATTAGCTATTATAATTGGAAAAGATGTAGAAGCCTTTGACACGTTGGCGGAAACCAACAGAACCCCCCTAAGAAATCTCTAAACGGGACAGAAAACAGCATAGAAAAAGCTATTTCACAGATCTAGGAGAAGATTGCCACTGAGTGCCTGATCCAGAAGAAGCTCCCTCCAACCAGGGTCTTTCTGTTTAAGAGGCAAGCTTGAAAATTGGGGTGCTGTTGTTTACAAAGCTCTCTTGAATGAATGAAGCTCAGAAACAAACTCCACAAACTCCAGACCAGGATTAAGCTTAGAAAGTTCAAATGTTCTTCTCTAACTAGGATTAAGCTCAGCTGGTCGGTCCTCAAATGAGATTAATCTTTATTATAGACATAGATCAGCCGATTGTCAACCATTTTCATCTTCCTCTCAGTCTTCTAAATGTGGTCCTCAGCCCATGTTCCTCCCCAGCCTTCCACTCTCAAAACCACCCTACTGTCCTTCCATTTCTATGTGCCAAGAACTGATGAAATGAGAATAAAATTCTCTCTCATCTTCTCCCTCACTAGCCCATCTTTGTAAGGATGTAAAAACAGTGGGTTGAAATGACTAGCGACGAGCATCGGTTTAGCGTCAGCAAATACAATTCTTTGGCAGCCAACCAATCAAGACTTCTACTTCTACCTCCCCAGGCAGGAAAAGGGATTAAGAGTCAGAAACAGTGAGTAGAAACAGTGAGTAGAAACAATGAGTAGCCCTACGTAAGGCAGCTTAGGAATTGTCCATTGGTGGCAATGGTTCCACTCCTAATAGCCAGCATTATCCATTAAGGAAGATGGTTTTCAATTTAGGGAAAATCAAATTACTCACTGTTTGGCATACCAGAAATCCAGATGACCATTATCTGGCCAAAACAGATACAGAAAGTCCTCGGCTCATCACCACACTTGGGGATCAGAATTTCTAGATGGTGGTTTAGTAAGTCACGCCTGATTTTATGACCTTTTTTTTTTTTGCAGTGGTTGTTAAATGAATCTCAGCAGTTATTAAGTGAACTGTGTGGTCTTTAAGCAAATCTGGCTTCCTTCATTGGTTTTGCTTATGAAAACCCAGCTGGGAAGGTCAACCAATGGTGATCAAGCAGATCCTGGGACTCTGTTGTAAATAGAGGCCAAGTGTATTTATTTTGATCCTGTGAATTTGGATCAAGTCATAGCATGGATGTACAATGGTCATAAATGTGAGGACTGGTTGTAAGCCATTTTCTCCAGGACCTTTGGAACTTTTGGACACGAAGCAAATGGTTTTAAGTCAAAAGGGCTACCTAGAGGTGCCACCCAGCGGTCATAAGGATTTTTGCAGCTTAGGTCTGATAATACTAGACCAGGCCCAGTAGAGAACAAAAGGAAACAAGATAGGAAATAAAAGAGAAATACAAATGCAATCCATGTCCCAAGATGCTCTTTCTGAAGGAGAACAAGGGAATATTTGCTGGTCAAGACATTGTAAATGCACAGTGCTTGTAGAAATACGAGACCACCAAAATCAGCCCACCCCCCGCCCAAAAAACCACCTCTGCCCTTTTCATTGGTTTGTTCAACTTTGGTGACACCCATCCAAGCAGTCCCTTAACATCCCCTGCTGTTTCTGTGGGTCTATTTACATGAACAAACACATTGAAATAACTATATTTTAAAACAATTTTTTTTTACATACAACCTTCTTTTAAGGGGAAGTGATCACAGGCTATATTCTCCAACCTGCGTGTGTCTTTTTCTTCCCCTTGAGACCTGCAAATGACAATCAGCAGAGGGAGAGAGAGGGAGAGGAAGGGAGGAAGGAAGGATTTGGTGAGAATCAGGAAGGAAGGAAGGAAGGAAGGAAGGAAGGAAGGAAGGAAGGAAGGAAGGAAGGAAGGAAGGAAGGAAGGAA